ATAAGCGGGGGGGGGGGGGGGGAGGCTTAGAGGTTGCATGTGTTTAATAGAAAAGTTGTTTAGAAAGTTATAGGCAGGCAAAACTGAATGAAATACAAAAGGAGACGGTAAAATGTTATCTAAAGCCTCGTACGGACAAGCAAGTTTTCTTCACAAATTTGTGTACATGTGTACGTCAAGGTTTTCCTTGCCAGGCTGGTTTGTTCCAAAGCCAGTCGTGCCAGCTTTTGGACAAGGAGAATTTGTTTGTGTGTGTACGGCCGCCAAGGAAAATTTGACAAGCATACAAGAAATACTTTTATGGTTTTGGCAAACAAAACGCAGCCTTGACGTAAGATCAATGTTTTGCAATATTTCATGCACACAAGAAACAAAACTTGTAACACAAGAGAAAGTGAACTTCTCGTGGGAGACGTTCTGCTGTAATGGGGGGGGGGGGTGAATAGGTTTTTGGATCGTCGGATTTTACAGAAAAAATTGTTCGGATTTCGGATCTGGCGAATGTTTTACACGGATTTGCGGATCTTATTAACACAGCGGATTTATCTAATATTTTGGCTTGGATTGTGGATTTAGCTTGCAATTTAGTTCGGATCCTGGATTGTGACTTCATAGTAGAGCTTTTAGCGGATTCAAATTTAGACAAGACAATTGTCAGATCGCAGATTTTGCTTCAAATTTGGGCGGATTGGCAGATTTGTATACCGCTATTCACCCCCCCCTGTAATTATTCCTAAGTCCATATCCCCAATGCATATATTTTTAGTTGGGAAGAGATTTCACAACTAACAGAAGGGAATTTGGAATTGACAGAAGCTATGTTCAGAGCATCATCTTTCGATGCCCCTCTTGCAAGAAAGGCTGTTTTTCAGCTGATGACGAATTCAAACTGAGACAATTAAGCGCTACAGACGAGAACATGACTCAGCAATTTCAGTGTGTGCCCAAAGTACTTTATTCAGAACAAGTATTGATGGAAAATCAAGATGAAATAACCCAGCTTGAGAAGGCAAGGTTTCCTTCCATGGTCGCCCATGTACCTGACAAAACGTGTATCTGGTATGACCGAAAATGTAAGTCTTTTTCATTTGGTGGTCTTATAAATTCCTAAAAAATAAATACCTATGGTTTCGGGTTTCATATCATGAAAAAATTAGGGTAGGTAGGTCAGAAATAAATATTTTTTTGAATATTTTTTTCATGGTTTTTGTGGTTTTTTGCTGGGCGATTTGCAGAGTCCCGACATCAATATTAACTAGAGATGCGTATTCCTATGGACGAATTTAGGCAATTTGGTTCAATAATTAGTGTGACAACAGACATCATTTTAACACGCTGTATGAGCAGTCCGCAACCACCCGGAGAAAATAGTGTTGCACGGTCAATTGCATCGAACAAATAATAGGGTCAGCAGAAAAAATAGGTTCGGTCGGAAAACCGGAACCACAGGTATTTTTTTAGGGTAATGTACAGTTTGTACACTGACTGATCGTAAAACAAGAATTATGGTTGTTCTAAGCAGTATTCCTGCTGTATTTCTAGCCATAGCAGATACGACAAACAGGTTTGACAAACTGGTGATGGTTTTGAGTGAAATGAGAGGTGAGATGGCTCTCTCTGCCAAGGGTGATCCACAAGCCAAACAAAGACTCGAAGCAAGTAAGAAATAATGTTCTTTTTTATACTGAATAGCTCTATCAATTCTAGACTGGTCCAGTAAGGATCATCTCTTATTGATCCAGTGTTACTACAGGAAGAAACCTAAACTAAACTAACTTTATTTATACTGGATAACTCTATCAGTTCTAGACTGTTCTTCCTAGAGGTCCAGTAAGGATAATTTCTTATTGATCCAGTGTTACTACAGGAGGAAACCTAAACTAAACTAACTTTATTTATACTGGATAACTCTATCAGTTCTAAACTGTTCTTCCTAGAGGTCCAGTAAGGATCATCTCTTATTGATCCAGTGTTACTACAGGAGGAAACCTAAACTAAACAAACTTTATTTATATTGGATAGCTCTATCAGTTCTAAACTGTTTTTCCTAGAGGTCCAGTAAGAATCATCTCTTATTGATCCACCAAGGTTTAGAGCTAATCCAGCGTTGAACCAGTGGCCCCTGAGCTGTATTCACTTTCCATTTTATAGAGCTTTACTGTGCGCAACTGTTGATCAACGACCATTCAAAGACCGTCCAAAAATCACTCATCCTTGAAGACTCTCCAAGGGTATTTCGAACTGAGTTACTGGAACTCGAGCAAGAATACAAACAAACAGATCAGGCAGGTATTTTTAGCTCTGACATCACAGATATGTTAGCTCATGTTAAAGCCCACAAGTTAATCCTATCACCACTTATCGTCAAAGAAATTGAAGATTTTGTTACACTACAAACTGACGAGTGTTTAGAGGAAAGTACAAGGTAATGGTTGGAAAGTAGGGGATATAGTTTGGATTCACTGTTGTGCAGCAGATATGGTGGTCGACCTGCGGTTATTGAAAAATTAATGTAAATTATTTTCATTATATGTAGTAGTCTTGTATTTGGTGGCAAATAAACAGAACTGAGAGATGTACCTACGATTCCTATAGCCCTATAGGTGATGTGCAACCATTCCCATGGGATTCAAAGGACAAAGAGATTTTTGCCATGTTGGATGATATTTGCATTGCAAACAAGCAAAATCCTTTGTCATCCAACATGGCGACGGTGACATAACTTGCACACCACCTATAGAAATTCCGTTAGGAAATGCAATTTTCTGTACCAATCCGTATGGGAAATTTTATTCCTATAGAAATTCCTATAGGAATTTGAAGTTTCTCTAGGAATTTCTACTAGGGTTGTATGGGAACTGGGAAGTTAATATTCATCTTGCTTGGTGTTAATCAAATAAATAACAGTATGAACTAACAAATTATCTAACACCGCAGCGTCACTCAAAGTCAAAGGCAATTATAAAACTATAAATACGAGAATGTTATATACATTGTACAGTACAAAATACAAAATATAATTTTGTATTACTAACATTTATATTCGTTGCATAATTGAATTTTGTTACAATTATTTGAAGTTTATAAATGTTTTTGTTTATTAAAATAAATTTTTTCATTATAATAACATTTAATTACACAACAACTTTAGAAACAACAACCGAATGATATTTACATTCCATAATGCAGTCCCAAAAAGTTTCCCCAGTGGATATTTATAGCAATGATGTACCCCGTTATTCATGTTTTACTACAGCAATACTATATATGGTGAAATATTTAAAACAGTGCTGAAACATATCAGCGCTGCTAGGACATTTAAAAAAAATTTTGGCATGAAATTTTCTTGCACCTTGCAAGAAATTTTTGTCATCTTATCTGCTGGAATATCATAAAATTTACTTCTTGTTTAAATATTTGAAAAGGATTTTGCAAGTCGAGATTGTTTTGTGCCGAGATTGAAATTTATCACAATGGGCGGACGATACGTTCTCTGAAATCTACATATGCAGGAAGTTTTGTAATTTGACTTGCCCAGGAAATTTTGAATTTTTTGATTTTGTTGCCCGAGAAATATATTTTCTAGGACTGATTTAAAACCGTATGTTGATACTCCATATACCAGCTGGATTTATTTTATAAATATAGTATCTTGCCAGGATTCATTATATTGTGTGGGTCGAGTGTTTTCTTAATGTTCTTCATAACCTCAATTCCTGGACTTCCAATTTCATCTTTCAATAAATCCATTTTCCCCATTCCAATACCATGTTCCCCGGTACACGTGCCGTCCAATGCTAGGGCGTGTCTAGGAGTAGTATACAGGATTAGCACTTTGAATATTATAATGTTTCACCCAAGATAAGTAACGTGTGATAAGAAAAGGCAAGAACATGATGATCGAATGTGGAATTGGAACATCAGAAAGCTGTGGAGGGTTACACAACTACAAGTAAAATACAAATAAAACGTGCACGTTTCTAGTGCAGGCCCTTCCTTGGAAACATACAGGAAGTACAAAGTACTAACTTCCCTTCATCAGGAAGAAAGTTTGTGTTTTTCAAGTAGTTCAATCCGTAGTTTTCTCGTGTTATTGTCACTATACCTACGGTCGCACAGACCGTTTGAATTCTAGAATAAACTGCCGTGGTTGGTGTCTGAACTACCAGAAATGTGAGAGTCCAGTGTAGATAGTAGAGAGGTTAAGATACCCCGGTTTCGGTGTACGGGTAGCATGATTTTGGTTAGCAATATTTTCGTCGATGTCTGTACCTTTACTCGTAATTAAGGTGCACATTTTTCGCATTATATCATTGTCTATTGCAAGAAAACAGAAAAAGTATGATCGAATTACAGACATCAGTAAAACAAGATGACACTACTCGTACCCGTACACCGAAACCGGGGTATCTTATTAACCTCTCCAATATTCTACCAAGGTGCGAGATAATTCAATATTTTTACTCGTACCTGACTGGTACGCTTAATGATTATTGCTGTGTACTTGAGCTGGTTAAAGTGTACTTAGTCTTTCAATTAAAGTACACAAAGCACTTGTTTCTGAAAGGTGTTCATTTAGTAACTTGAAAAATTATAACAAGCAGCACAATTGTATATACAAACACTACAATCGACTCTAACGTTGCCTATAGTCCAATCATGTTTCAGGGCAAGGCATGTGAGACATGTACCGACTTAATTTCGGTTTTGAATACTTGGGTTTGGGAAGGTCATATATGGCAGAAGCAAAAAGTAAATACGCCGCGATACTGTAGCAAGAGTTCCGAGTACCTACGTGGTACGTGGCTAAAAACAAAGAATTACCAGACCGTAATATTGGCGTACCTCCAGTACGTAAGTACGCGAATTATCACACCCTGAATTTCCTACAATAACATGTGTGAAAAACGTAGGGTTTTTCGCTGTAAAAATAGACATGTTTTCTTGACCGGCACTACCTAACAGGAAGTCTGTAACTGCAGATTTCTTAATGACTACGGGGAGGAGGGAACAATAGACTCTGGGAATAGTAAACATGTCGTACCTTGCGACTCTTTCAGTCAGATCTTTTGCTCTGGCTTTCTCCTCTGCATCATTTGGATCAAACAAAACCAGAAGATGAAAATTCCCATCACCTACATGACCTACCAGTGGCGCTAGGAAAAAACAGATCCTGTTTATATTCTTATCATAAAATTAAAATTCCACATTGAATTTATAAAGTATGTTATTGCGTTCGATGTGTTGTCTTCTCACATGTGAGAAGAATGCTACCAATTTGACCACACACCACAGACTTTCTTCGGCTATTTTTGTTTTCTACTGTAGTAACACTGGATCAATAAGAGACGATCTCACTGGACCTCTAGGAAGAACAGTTTAGAACTGATAGAGCTATCCAGTATAAATAAAGTTAGTTTAGTTTAGGTTTCCTCCTGTAGTAACATTGGATCAATAAGAGATGATCTCTTACTGGACCTCTAGGAAGAACAGTTTAGAACTGATAGAACTATCCAGCATAAATAAAGTTAGTTTAGTTTAGGTTTCCTCCTGCAGCAACACTGGATCAATAAGAGATGATCCTTACTGGACCTCTAGGAAGAACAGTTTAGAACTGATAGAGCTATCCAGAATAAAGAAAGTTAGTTTAGTTTAGGTTTCCTCCTGTAGCAACACTGGATCAATAAGAGATGATCCTTACTAGACCTGTAGGAAGAACAGTTTAGATCTGATAGAGCTATCCAGTATAAATAAACTTAGTTAGGTTTCTTCCTGTTGTAACACTGGATCAATAAGGATCTTCATAAAAAGGCGTGTGAATTAAACAAGTCATTTATTATTGGCGCCGATGAGGTGATTAAGATTCGGGCTTACGGTTCGTGAAACTTGGCAATGATACATATACGTGATGTTTTTCACAAGTCATTAAGAACAAATCTTCAAAGTCCTTGAATTTGAAAACAAAAATTCAAGTCCTTAAATTTGTAAAGATGCACTTGAAAGTCCTTAAATTATCCTTGCTTTAGTTTATGGATATTTCCTGAAATTGTTTGGCATTCAAAACGGACATTTTGTTGAATTGATTTTGCATGTTCATATCTGACAAAGCTGTTTGAAATTCATTAAGATGCGTTTTGAACAATTCAACGTCTGAATTTCTAACGCCTTCAGTATTTAAGTCTTTGAATTTGCTGATACATGGCCTTGAATGTCCTTAAAAAATCCTTGAATTGGACTTTTCCTAACATGTACGAACCGTCCCTGGTTATATAACTCGTTATCTATGTTTAAGTTTAAGGCTGCTTTCCAGTTAAGGATTTTTCACACATTCTTTTAGAGAAGTTAGCAATCCGTGACCTGAACAATTGGGTAACTTAAAAATTGCAATTGGTGGTTTTGGCAAAAATACAATGTGCACTTCACGATGAAGGAGCATATTTTGCATAAACGTTGACTAACATAGACAATGAGTTGTTATTCTGATGAGTTTCTAAACCATCCCTTGTATGAATCATGTGCTCACCTATTAATGAAAGGTTGCCAATATCTTCTTTTGTTTTCGTGATAATCTCTGGCAGATTTGATATAGGGACACAAACATCCGTCACCAAACCCTAGAAGGCAAACAAGAAAATCCACTTACACAACTTCACCCCATAAGGCAAGTATGAATAACTTTTTTTTATTCCCTCTCCTCGGATGTCCCTCCCCAATTCACTCTTGAGAGATGGAGATGATTTTTCCTTCGACCTGCCAACATTTAGTAAAGGTTTTGAACTAACTTCAATATACTGGATAGCCCTATCAGTTCTAACTTCTAAGTTCTTCCTAGAGGTCAATACTTGATCCGGCGTTAGTACAGGAGGAAATCTAATCTAATTTTATACTGATTACTGGATCAAGCTCTATCAGTTCTAAGTCCTTCCTAGAGGTCAAGTATTGACCCAGTGGTAGTACAGAAGGAAACCTAATCTAATTTTATACTGATTACTGGATAGTCTATCAGTTCTGAGTTCTTCCTAGACGTCAAGTATTCATCCATTGTTAGTACAGGACGAAACCTAATCTAATTTTATACTGGATAGTTCTATCAGTTCTAAACTGTTCTTCCTAGAGGTCCTGTAAGGATCATCTCTTATTGATCCAGTGTTACTACAGGAGGAAACCTAAACTAACTTTATTTATACTGGACAGCTCTATCAGTTCTAAACTCTTCTTCCTAGAGATCCTTATTGACCCTTGAAGACAGAGAAGATCCATTTACAAAAATTCTCCCGCAAGGCAAGTACTGATAACTTTTTTGATCAATAGTGATTAGCGAGAATTAAACTGTGCGCCTGGGATGACCCCTCCCAGCTCATCAGCAAATGAAAAAAAAGTCATTGTAGGTTGCCATCTCTCTAGAGATAAGTCTTCCGTCTTAGTTGATGGCGTGATGCGATTGATCAATGACTCTCATCCATTTGCTAGCCGGCACTGGTGACAGATTTGATTAGACTGCTGTGGTTTCCCAGTGAATTAATTCTGCTAAATGGGTCACCCTTCCTGTATTTTAAATTAAAGAGTTTATGAAATTTCGTATTTCACACCTTTTTTATTACATTGTAATGAAAATGAATAAGACACTTTGCCAGACTCTCTGAGCTTGTTTCTGTGCTTCTATACCTGTATTTAACAATGTTTGATATTCAAATTGTCCAACACTAAGTCGTCAAGTTACATAATGGCTCTCTTAAAAACACCCTCGTTCAAACTTTGACAAGAGTTTTAACTACGTGTGGTAATCTTCAGTCAACTCTTGTTCTCGTTTGACCGGGGCATGAGAGTTGAGAAAACTCTCATACAAACTCTCGCTTCTCAGCTCTCATTAACTCTCATGCAACTCTTGTTCTCGTGTGACCGGGGCATGAGAGTTGAGAAAACTCTCATACAAACTCTTGCTTCTCAACTCTCATCCTCGATTAATCCGAGCTTTACCACGTGACACAACCTCGTACCCAGGCTCTTTAGTAGTTAATAGCGTTCAGAGCTCTGGGCGAGCTTTTAGGCGCGCGGGGAATCTTGGGCCCCGCTCGCTTAGCTCACCCAGAGCTCTGAGCGGTACGAGGCTGCACGTGACATATCTCCCCCCTCCCCGCCCTTACCTTACACCCTGGTCTCAAATTAAGAGCGGCATATAATGCGTCATGTCGTGCTTGCCATAATTTGTTTCTCTCTTCAGCCTTCGTCGACCACACGAAATCTGAGCCACCATTACTTTGGACAATCTCACCTGAAACGAGAGATGCACGTAACGTTGTCAAATATCAACTGTGAAAACGGTGAGTTTTGACAGATTTAATCCTTGTGTGATATGGACATAATCCGCATACTTAATGTCCGTTGCTACCCTCATAATGCAAGCATAGAATAGCAGAAATTCGAAAGGTTTAATATTAAGCATTTAAATTATATATGTATACATATGTAATTGTCAACAAGATGTGTTCGCAACAGGCTTGTAGCAAGCTTGTCAATAAGTTGTAACAATGCTGTTTTATCAAGTTGCTACAAGGTTGTCACTCACAAATTGTTGACAAATCGTTGAATTGCAGGACGATAACAAGTTGTTGGAACAACTTGTAACAAGTCTGTTGAGCTCAACAACCTTGTAACAAGTTGTCAACAAGCCGTTGACAACTGGTCAACAAGCTGGGAACAAGCAGTGCGAACACATCCTGTTGACAAGTTGTTGGAACAGCATTGCTACAAGTCTGCTGCAGGTTTATGACAACTTGTGTGTTTCTACGTGTGACTTGTTTATGAGTATAGTCAGTACAGCATTCATAAAGTTGCAAACCTGTTGCCTTAGCTTGTCCTTCGACTTCATTTTTTCCTCCATGAAATTCCAAAAACAAAGTTGGTGCGACTTTGTAGTTCAATTCTTTGGAGTATTTGTTGAATGAGTCCATCGTTACTTCATCCAGTAGTTCTGAAGAATACAATATTTTGTTTAGATTGCTTTGCTTCTCAGTCAAATACCTGCAAGAGATTCTTCGAGGCCCTTGATCTGGATATTAGTAGCTTGGGACGGAGAAACACGTCAGGCTTTAAAATGAAACTACAAGATTTTGCACACACTGATGAATCTCATTTTGTTTCGAAAATTTGTTGTCTGTCTATTGTTTTGCGAAAAAGATAGAAAACGCGGCAATGTTTCGAGCTTAGATCTGCGTTACCAACTTCCTCAAGAAGAGCCAGAAGCATCCACATAAATCATTCTTCTATTTACCAATCCTTGCGATAGGAATTCCGTATGACATGACTTCAACCACGCTGTCAACAGCAGATTGGATATTGTCAAAACAACATACCGCAGACAATGCCTATACAAGTAAATAATATTTTGATCGTATTCGAGTCAATGCAGCTTCCATAGTTGGGAGATATTTTATCTTTGGACGAGTCTCGATTATTCTTACCGATTCTGGTATTCCGTACACCTTCAGTGTTGCCTTGGTGATAATACCAAGAGTCCCTTCCGAACCAACGAATAAATTTGTTAAATTATAACCAGCAGAACTCTTTCTGGATAGAAGAAGTTAGATATTAGCTCTCCTGCATCTCAAAGATTTTATTGAGCTTTCAATTCTTTGCTTATTTTATCCCAACAATGCCACACGTAAAACACACAAGTTCTAATCATGCAGCAGACTTGTAGCAATGCTGTTCTAACAACTTGTCAACAGGATGTGTTGGCGCTGCTTGTTCCCAGCTTGTTGACAAGTTGCCATGGCTTGTTGACAACTTGCCACAAGGTTGTTAAGCTCAACAGACTTGTTAGAAGTTGTTCCAACAACTTGTTATCGTCCTGCAATTCAACAATTTGTCAACAAGTTGTGAGTGACAACCTTGTAGCAACTTGATAAAATAACAGCATTGTTACAACTTGTTGACAAGCTTGCTACAAGCCTGTTGCGAACACATCTTGTTGACAAGTTGTGAGATTTTTACGTGTGATGACGCTGCGGTTTACTTTGATTTCAGAAATTTGCGAGGCTTAACGATACCTAGAACGTCTTCCTTCTCCTGCAGTGTGAACGATCGAGCCATCAGCGAGGACAACTTCAAGGTTTAATACATTATTTTTCATTGTGCCATACCTAGCATGACAGAAATTATAGATACCTTTACCACCAGAGTTTGATTCCTGCAATACGCAGTTGTGTGATTATAATTTCACGTCAGTCACATGTGAGAAGTGTGCTTCCAGTTTGACTACCAAACATCACAGCTTTTCTCCTAGTATTCCGGTTTCTTCCTGTAGTATGATCTTCTGAAAAGAAGTTTGATGTAAACTTAACGGAAAGATGATAATTTATACATTACCTAACCGCATTAGTCCCAGAGGCGCTTGTTGCGGCCATTCCGCATAATGATGGATCAGGTCCTGGGTCTAGGAATGTAAGTTTACTATTTCTATTGGAATTTATACAGAAAAGGGGTCCTAATTGGGAACTCAAAGATATTTTGTAATATGCCAAAACTACGGGCAGTGTAGTCAGTGAATTTCCACTCTAAGGTAATTAGTGAGATGTCAGTTTCAAATTACTGTTTCATCGTTTGTTAGCTACATACCACTGAAGATTGTCAGTCAATTTTCAGGAGTCAGTTCAGTTCTCTAGACCCTTTTAATAAATGTTCGTATCACTATGAATTCAGTCAAATTTACCCAATTTAAGGCCGTTTCCACTCCAACTGTATCGTACCGAAGCGTATTTCTTTGTTTGCTGAGCACTCGAGTGGAACTAATGACTTGGTGACAAACGAAACTTTCTTAATAACTCACCAATGGGAAACCACAGACCAGAATCTCTAAGATATGTATTGAGAAAGTTTCTTGTCACACCAGGTTCAACCGTCACATCCATATCTGCGTGGTTCACACTCACAACCTCGTCCATTCTTGATAGATCAATACATACACCACCCTGGGAAAAATACCAAGTAACTAGGAAGTCAACTAACTTTATTTATACTGGATAGCTCTATCAGTTCTAAACTGTTCTCCCTAGAGGTCCAGTGAGGATCATCTCTTATTAATCCAGTGTTACTCCAGGAGGAAACCTAAACTAAGCTAACTTTATTAATACTGGATAGCTTTATCAGTTCTAAACTGTTCTTCCTAGAGGTCCAGTAAAGATCATCCCTTATTGATTCAGTGGTACTAAAGGAGGAAACCTAAACTAACTTTACTTAACTTTGTCAGTTCTAGACTGTTCTTCCTAGAGGTTCAGTGATCAGTTTAATACAGGAAGAAACTAATACTAACTAGTACTGTATTATTTAGAGAGGACGAATTAGATGAGAATATTACAAAGGATGCAAGGATTATCACTCTGTGAACATCTTACAAACAAGAAGTTTAGAAGAAGAGCTGGAGTAGAAAGCATAGTCAAGAGTAGAAGAAGCAAAAATGAGATGGTTTAGATATTTAACTAAGAACAGACGATGGAAAATTGACTCATAGAAAGATATTGTAACTAGAAGATTCAGGGAAAAGAAGTGTTCATATCGAGGTGATCTTTACCTCCAATGCTGCCACGCCACCTTCTACACCCGTTCCAGTCCCAAATGGTATCATCACGATCTTGTGTTGGTTGCATAACTTGGCCACATTACTGACTTGCTCTGTATTACCTGGCCATACTACCAGGTCAGGTGACCGAATACTGTGATATGATTCGTCCTTGCCATGCTGGTCTCTGACTGCTTGAGCGGAGGAGATATTCTTAGGACCAACAATTGAAGTAAGTTCATTAATGATTCCTCCAACCTGCAGCATTTAGTAAAGGTTTTGAACTAACTTACTGGATAGCCCTATCAGTTCTATGTTCTTCCTAGAGGTCCAGTATTGACCCAGTGTTAGTACAGGAACAAACCTAAACGAACTCAAAACTGGATAGCTCTATCAGTTCCAAACTGTTCTTCCTATACTTCCTAGAGGCCCAGTAAAAACCATCCCTAACTGACATTACCCTGTTGGCAGTACTCTGGGAAAACCTCACTGAGGCATAGTTTTCTGTAGTGGTGCGAAAAACCACCTATCCGATACGAAAGGTACAACTTTCAGAAGTTGAGCGAAACAACATCTCTCTGTTGCAATAATTCCTCTGTAAATAGCGTTCCTAAAAGGTACGGATAGCTGTTTTTTTTCACGTCACTACGGAAAGAGTACATGGTACAAGTATGTAAACGTAACCTAAATCTGCAAACTGAAAGCACTCTTCCACATATTTGTAGGAAGTAGGTTTTAGTCTCCCATGCGGTAGTGACGGATACAACCTCTGGATACGCCATATTTGAATATATTTGTTTCTATTTTAATATTTAGATATCTAGTATGCACGAATGCGTTTGAAGACAGATAAAATGTATTAATATGTTCAATTGAAATTTATTTGAAATTACTTAAATCTGCATGACTTTAAAATTTACGTTTTGCTGAACAGTTATAAGCCCTGATGAATCTTGCATTAGACTTGGCAGTCACATATTGTTTCTGAGTGTTTGAAATTAATTACGATATAACTTAAATAGAATACATGATGGCTGTTGTTAATGCATTCCCAACACTAACTAAGCTCTCGTTTGACCGCTTGTTTATGGGTAGAAGTCTTTACTTTAATATAAGTCAGTGAGGTCTACAATGTATCAATAGGACTTTAAACGTATGCAGTTCACATCCAACAGACAATAGCAATTCATAATGCTACGTATAATAATTAGCTATAAGTGAATGTATCAACCTAAATGTGAATATTTTAAATTCTCTAGCTAGTGCAATGCCAATGGTACTAATGGTTACCTTTTGTGAATACCATCGACATTGGTTTCTTCTTGTAAGATCTCTGAAGCTACGTCCAAGACAGCTTGATATAACTCGTCTCATAATGCTGCATTCAAATCCTGACTACAATTTCTCGCATCTATGGATAAAATGTAAGTTCTAATAATAAATACGTACATTTACTGTTAGTATTGGTGCAGTATATATCTGTTCATTTCATCCGGTAGAACTATCTTCAAAGTTAGGTTATATTTCTATCAATTCTATGTTTATATAAAACGACCATGTTATCAGGAAACTGTATATTTGTGCGTTTATACTGGGACTTACTTCCGCTTGCTAATGATGTATTTGCATG